TATTAATTTTTCAGGTAGCTTAACAGTCGCCCCTTCAACACATAGTTGAAACAATGATTAAAAATTTTAAAACAATATAATTTTTTCTACATATACATCATGATGAGTGCAAATCATGATAGGTGGTGCCGATCATCGTTTCGAGTAGCCTATTGGGCGAGCTCACCATAAGAATCTGAGCTTACCATCTCATTTTATCACACACACACATATATAATACGGGGCTGTTTGGTTGAGTGATTTTATAAATTTTTTTTATAGAAAATGACTGATAGTGGTAGTTTTGTAGATAAATCTTTTCTGAAAATTTCTATAAACTGTGTTTAGTTCAAAAAAATTTACAGAAAAGTTTTCTATAAAGTACAAAAAAGTACCCAATTGTATAGAAATCAATTTTCGCTCAAAATGAGTAAAAATCACCCAGAAATCTGACGCATGTATTAAAAAATTAATTAAGTACATCAGTACCATTCCCATATGATTTTTCCCATGGGCATTGTTAGTAACCTATTTTCTATAAAGTGACATCCAACCAAACAAAATAAAAAGAAAACAACATATTTTCTATAAAGTTAGAATTTTTTTCACACTTTTAACCAAACAAAGAAATATCAAAAAACAAGAAATATGGTACTCTTTTGAGTTCTATAAACTTTTCCTACAAATTTTATAGAAATACAAGGAAGTCAAATTTTGAGTACTTTTTTTTTCCTCTTTTTTATAGAAATTGAACCAAACATCCCCGAAAGAGTTTGAAATAGGAAAAAAATAAATCAAATATAATTTTACAAATATGAATACAAAGTTAATATAGTTTTGAAATGAAAATAAAATAAAAAGGTCAAAAAAAAAACCCATGGGCTGTGGGCCGAGTCCGGCCCGACCAGTTCCTATCCAGGTTGTTGGCTGAGCTGGGTTCAGTCCCAAACATGAGACTAAAGAAGCATGCCCGGTCCACTCTGACCCGCAAGAGCTTGGGTTGGACTGACCCGACCTTGAACCCGACAGACCACGTAACAGGATTGAACCGGCTCGACCCACGCTCACCTGTAGGAATACCCTGCCTTGCCCTCTCCACTTGTCAAGCAAATCTCATCGACAACCTCCCTAATCTGTTATTTGGACGCTTTTGTTAGTATTGAAATTTAATTGCAGATGTAAAGAAGATGGGGAAGAGAGATTATTACGAGGCTATTTGGTAGGATGAAAATAAAGTTACAAATGTAAATAGAGCAATCAGATTTATGAATACATTATTTTATTTATAATTTTATAATTAGAAAATGTAAATGAACTTGCACGTTGTAGGAAAAACTTATAATAAATGCTACGACTAATTTGGTGGGAGGAAAAACGACAGACTTAAAAAAAAAAGGAATAAAAAAATTTTCTACCTCATCAAAAATAATATTTTTAAATCCAAATACAAAAATTATCTGCACCAAAATTTTCTTATATGATAGAATTTTGTAGCTTTTGGTTAATTATTTTTCAACTAAACATTAAAGTTGCATTCAGGAATACATTTCCTACAATATAATTGCAGATATCCAAACATCAGATTTGAGTTGATTTCTAACAAAAAATGCGACATACAACATTTGTTTCAATTTATTGTTGCAACAAACCAAACAACCCTTATCCAAGAGGGTTCAACCGAATTTATAACTGTCTATAAATAGTATTCCAAGTCTTAAGTTCAGCTTCAGCTTCGGCTCAACCTAGGTAGTCATACCTAATTAAAACAAATAATCTACCATTTTCTCTGTTCTTGCAATCCGATACTTGTAAGAAAAACAATATGATATTCCCCTCGAGTGATGCTATGGTTCCTGGTTGGCTTGATCCAACTAGTAGAAGCTCTTGATTCTGGGTACAATGAATTTTTACTGTCGGGAGGAAGAGCAAATAATCTACCTTATTAAAACAATGAGTAGTTCTACAGGGATAACAGTGCGTCAACCAATGGGGAGGGGACACCTCACCTGTCCCCTCCCCCTGTCCTATAAAAATAGTCCCCAAGGCATTTTCCTAAAACAATTAATGGCGTAGGTTAAACATAACAGTATATTCTTCAACATTTATAACCCTAGCTAACCACAAAGACTAATAATATCAACATAATATGATTATTTGAGGGACTCATATCAAAATAGTATGAGACTAATATTGAAAAAAAAAACCATAAGCTTAACAACATTTAATTTTATCATCCTCTTCCTATCTCGTTACAGGGGAAGGTAACAATGAAAACAAAAATACCATATTAATTATTTGGTTATCCCAAATGTAGGGTTGTTCATGAGGTTGGATCTCATGTCAAAATCCGTTAACTACTCGCTTTGTTTCTGCCCCCAGCATCCTCTAGAGATACGCTCGAAGTCCAAATACACTGAATCTGCCCTTTTTAAAAGTCCAAATACTTTTTTTTAATCACACTAAAAAATAATCAGGCTCAAATTGCTTCCATAAATATACGGACGTCCGCATAGAAACTACCCAAGCAAAATCTCACCAACCCCTTTCCCTCCCTCTGATATAAAGCCGCATCCTCGGCCTCTCCCTCACCCCACAAAAAACCCAAAAAACCCCTTTAAAAAAAAATGGCGGCATCCATTCGCCCAGCTCGAACCTCCATCGCTCCAACACCAAACCTGACCGCACTCACAAAACCGCCTAGACTTCTCCCCCTTCCCGGCGCACCTCCTCCCCCTCCCGGGCCGCCCGGCCAACCGCCACCGCTCCCTCTCTTTTCTCCGCCGTCCAGCGCGACGCAAGCCCACCGTCCTCGTCGCCGAGAAGCTCGGCGAGGCCGGACTAGACCTCCTCAAATCCTTCGCCAACGTCGACACCTCGTACAACCTCACGCAAGAGGAGCTCTGCACCAAGATCTCGCTTTGCGATGCCCTAATTGTTAGAAGCGGGACTAAAGTTAGCAGAGAGGTTTTCGAGTCTTCGGCTGGAAGATTGAAGGTGTCGCGAAGGGTGGAGTTGGATCGATAATGTGGATCTATCGCGGCGGCGAGGGCACGGGGTGTCTTGTTGGTCAATGGCGCGCGGCGACACAGTGGCGGCGGCGGAGACATGCGTCTTGCGCTCTGGCGGCCATGGCGAGGAATGTTGCTCAGGCTGATGCTGCCCTCAAGAAAGGTGAATTTTTTTTTCGTGTTTAGATCTGAAGGTATGGATCTGGGGTTTAGGGTTTTAGATCTACCAGACAATGAAAATAGTGATTTAGATCCGTGGGTTTTTAGGTTTTCCTTTATGGTTCGTGAGTGATAAGTGTTGAATTTGCTTATGATTAGTTCTGAATGATATATTAGATTGTGAAAATTTTCCTTTTTTGGTAACCTTTTGCTACTTTGTTATTGGTTTATATGAGGCTTTTGTAACTTGTTTGATGGTTTATGTCATTTGTTTTCTTGTTTTAATGAAAAGTTGGAATCTTTTTGGTATTTATTACCTTTTCGTTTTATTTTTAAATATTTCTTTTGTCTTAATACCGGGACAGTAATCTTCTATGGTTCTCTGTTTTTGTTCATGGAAAGTTGTATTGTTTTTGGGTTTTGTTGCCTTTCTTTAGTTTTTTATTTTTAGTATTATTTTCTCTTGTAACTGTGTTTCTCCTTTCTTCTTTTATGTGCTGAGCATGCTATTTATTTCAAAGTAGATTTTTCCTTGTTAAGATGTGCATCCCATTGGGTTGACCTGATTCGGGTCACCCATATGTTATCCAGCGTGGATTTGAATGACCTGAATTGCAATATTGTAATATTCTTCTATTTTTAAATTCTTTATTAGTTAAATTTATTATGCATTAAACCTTGTTGCATTATATAACAATTGGGATCATAGTTTAACTTCAAATCTATCAATAGTCTTTCAATCATGGTGGTGTGCTGTTTATTTCATGTGCCAAGATGTTGCCCAATTGCTTCTATCCGACATGATCACCCTAGCCTTTATGAACTCAACATGCGTTTCAGAACCCTTCTTCTGTCATCAATTTTCATATGGTTTCAGCAAAATCTTCTTTTTTCACCAACTGTACCTGAGTTCCACCATGACATGTATAGTATAGGAATTTTGCCAATGATTGACACTCTGCTTCAATCACCCAACTTCCTAACTCAACCATCCCACCCTCAGCCCCAGCATCATTAAGTACCAGCAATTAAAGACATCAGAAAGCATATAAAACACATAAATTCAAACCGAAAAGGAAAAACTCTCCAAAGAGTGAAACCTGGAATAACTCGGCAAGGGCACTAGTGCAATTCATGGTGATAATTGTCCCTAAAATTTGAATTGAGACCCTAGTTCATATGGTGGATAGTAATTTTTGGAATTTTTGGATATAGTAAATAGTAGAACATCTATTAATCAATCATACTTTATTCAACTTTTTCCTTATAAGATTGTAGCTTTGAGATAGCTATTTGAGCTTGAAGAAAACCTGTAGCATCCACATTTAGAGCTACGTGCTCGTAAATTTTTTCACTTTTTGCTCACATCAATATATTCATTATCTGGTATATTTATTATCCGGTAATGTACTGATTATCTTGAAGAAGAACAATTATAGTTTCACCATATTACCAGTATCATCAAATGTTGCTAACAATTACTGTTAATATGGTGAAGCTACAACTTATTCAAGTTAATCAGATAATAAGTACATTACCCGATAATTAATATACCGATGTGAGCAAAAAGTGAATAAATTTAGCAGAGCTCTAAATGTGGATGCTACAGGTTTTCTTCCAGCTCAAACAACTATTGCAGAGCTACACTCTGTCCTGGAAAGCTGAATAAAGTATGATTGATTAATAGATATTCTACTGTATTTACTATATCCATCAAATTGAAAAATTAACAATGCTATCCATCCTGTGAACTAAGGGTCTCAGTTCAAATTTGGAGACAATTATCAAGCAGATTAGACTAGTGCCCTTGCAGATTCTTTCTAGGTTTAACTCTTGGCAGAGTTTTCCTTTTCAGCTTGAGTTTCTTTTCAGCTGGAATTTCTGTGTGTTATATGCTTTCTCATGTCTTTGGCCGCAGGTACTTCTTTGGTGCTGGTGCTGAGGATGGGGTGGATGAATTAGTAACTGGGGTGATTGAAGCAGAGTATCAAAGTATCGTGAACCACTAATCTTCTTCTCCTTTGTTCTTGTTAATGAAAATTTGGAAAGTTTTTGGGTTCTGTTATATTTATTTTGTTTTTTGTTTTTCTGTTCTCTTACAACTGTATGTTCTCCTATGTTCTTTTATGTGCTGACTGCTGAGCATGCTATTTATTTAAAGTTTGTAACTGGAAGGTAGATAAGGTTCATCAGATTTTTCTGGTCAGGGTCTGCAGCACATTGGGTTTGACCTACACATCTCATCCATATGTTACTCATCATAGAATAACCTGGCAAATAAATTATATTATTGTTGTATTGATTATTCTTTTTCTATTTCATTTATTTATTCTTTATACTTCTAATGTATTATACATTAAACCTTGTTGCATTATTTATCTTGTTGCATTACGTAACAGTTGGGGTGATAGATTAACTTAATGTTTGTCAATGTTGTCTTTCAATCATTGCGGTGTGTGCTATTTATTTCATGCGCTGATGTTTATTGAATCTTCTGCCCGACATGGTTTGCCGAGCTTTCATGGACCAGACATCTGCTTCTGAGAACTGTTCTTAGTGTATGCATGAACTAATCATCTATTAATGGGTTAGCAATACTTTCTTCTTTTTTCACCAGCTGTTTATGAGTTCCACCGTAGCATGTATTTCATATGGCATGTACTAGGCATTTCACCTGTGAAATATTTTTAGAAGAGGACAATTGAGTATCTATTAGTGGGTTATCAATATATTTTTCTTGACCAATTTTTTCATGAGTTCCACCATGACATACAGCTGCATATGTATTTCTCCCTCTGAAATACTTTTTCAAGAAGACAAATGAGTGTCTTTTTTACCTTTTCTGCTTCTTGAAACATGTTTCTGACTTGTCCAAGAAATAACTGCTGTGAAGTGAAAACATCACCTGAACTCAACTAGTATAGTTTAATTCCGTGTAGAATCAAATTCAGATAGATAAATTGAATTCAATTTCTATTAATATAACTGTCATTTGCTAATCTCCATCTTTCACATTGACTGTCTTTCGTACATTGTTTATATTTTCTTTGTTTGGCAATAGAATTCAATTTTGTACAATTAGGCTTCTTTCCAGAAGCTCAAAAAATCGTCTTTAGTTTACAGACACTTGAAATTATAACTTGAATAGCATATGCCCCAAACGTGCAAGAAATCTTAATCACTTATTTGTGATTTATATCTTTAAGCATAAGCTCAATTTAATTATTCAAATGACATCTAACTAATCATCTGCAAGCTTAAGGCATTTGGTTTCCTTGAAAATTCTGCATTTATACATATTACCTATTATATTTTTTTTTGACATAGCACTCCATCAATATTTTCTTATGACATCTGATTTCTTCTCAAATCCAGGTAAATGGGAGCGCAACAAATATGTTGGGGTATCACTTGTTGGCAAAACTCTTGCAGTGATGGGTTTTGGAAAAGTTGGTTCTGAAGTTGCAAGGCGTGCCAAGGGTCTAGGAATGCAGGTCATTGCACATGATCCCTATGCTCCTGCTGATCGTGCTCGTGCACTAGGAGTCGAGTTAGTGACATTTGATGAAGCATTAGCACTTGCAGATTTCATCTCATTGCACATGCCCTTAACACCTACCACATCAAAGATGCTCAATGATGAATCCTTTGCAAAGATGAAGAAAGGCGTGAGGATAGTCAATGTTGCTCGTGGTGGTGTAATTGATGAAGAAGCTCTCGTGAGGGCATTGGATTCTGGAATTGTTGCACAGGTCCCTTTTGACTACTTATTTTATGAGATATTTCAGAAGCTTTTTGGCTTCATTAGTTGCTGATATGTTTTTTCTGCATCATTTAGGCAGCATTGGATGTCTTCACAAAAGAGCCTCCTCCACTAGATGATAAATTGGTCATGCATCACAATGTTACAGTTACACCTCATCTGGGAGCCAGCACCACAGAAGCACAGGTAAACAGGAAATCTGTGGTTATTCTATAGTCATGGCTTTGTTTGTCTGTTAACTATATTAACTAAGCCAATAATATTTTCTAATTTTATTTGTTGACCTCACAGGAAGGAGTGGCAATTGAAATAGCTGAAGCTGTTGTTGGAGCCTTGAAAGGAGAACTTGCTTCTACTGCAGTAAATGCGCCAATGGTTCCCGCTGAGGTATCACATTTTAAAGTTTAAATATAGCTTCAAAGTAAAATTAGACATCCTGGAAATGTGTAATCATTCTGAAAGGAAGATACAACCAAGAATATTACAAATGAATATTATCCTTAGGAGTTTTTGTGGATATAACTAAATAGGCTTCGTCGAAACTGCACATGAAGCTTAGGGAAGACGGGATTAATGAAAAATGTACACGAAGCTTAAATGGGGATAGGGGTATTTTCCAAGAAAACCTGCTTAAGTATCCCCTAGGACGATGACTTGCTTCCTTGCTTCGCTTTTCTTATTGCTGAGTGGTATTGCATTTACAGAAAAAAAAGGAGAAAATTAAAGAAATTTGTCCTGTATTTTCTATCCCCAAAAACAAATCCCATGTAAAACCTGACAAGCAGTATATTCTTCAATTTTTTACCTTGCAAATTTGTACAAAGTGGCTACAGAGCCACAATACATGACTTGCACTAAACCCAACTTGTATGCCTCTAAGACAAGAATATGCAACTTCCTCCTAGACATGAGACGATCAGAGTCAGCTATCTTTTTATAGGTGATACTAGAGCTTAATAATGCTAGCTTATTGTAATATTTCTGTCTTTTGTTACAGGTGTTATCAGAGCTTGCCCCATATGTTGTTCTCGCAGAGAAACTCGGCAGGCTAGCTGTCCAACTCGTAGCAGGAGGCAGTGGCGTGAAATCAGTAAAGATCACCTATGCATCAGCCAGAACTCCTGATGATCTCGACACCAGAGTTCTCCGTGCAATGATCACTAAGGGCCTGATCGAGCCAGTCTCCGACGTCTACGTTAACCTTGTAAATGCCGATTTCACAGCAAAACAGAGAGGCATTCGTCTTACGGAGGAAAGATTCCTCTTGGATGGTTCACCAGAAAGCCCTCTCGAATTCATCCAGGTCCAAATTGCCAACGTCGAATCTAAGTTTGCCAGTGCCATGTCTGAAACTGGGGAGATTAGCGTGGAGGGGAAAGTGAAAGATGGGATCCCTCATCTTACTAAGGTTGGATCATTTCAAGTTGATGTGAGCATGGAAGGGAGCTTGATTCTCTGTAGGCAAGTGGATCAGCCTGGGATGATTGGCACTGTTGGGAGTATTTTAGGGGAGGAGAATGTGAATGTGAGCTTTATGAGTGTTGGTAGGATTGCTCCTAGGAAACACGCAGTTATGGCAATTGGTGTCGATGAGCAACCGGCAAAAGAAACTTTGAAGAAGATCGGGGAAATACCGGCCATTGAAGAGTTTGTGTTCCTTAAGTTATAGAGTGGGTAGTTTCTGTGACGGCGATTTTTATACTCATTTGAAGGAGCTGCGAATTATTTAGCTGAGTTATTATTTTGAAGCTGTGGGTTGTAGTTTACATGCGGTCAAAATTTTCTAGTATTATCATCCAAATGCGTTTATATTTGAGTATTACATCATACCTATTGTCTGAACTATTTAATTATGGAATCTCATGAGTATCACCTTTTGATGGAAGTATATAATATTTAGTTTTTAACTCTCTTGGTATTTTGGAATTTTGGCATGGACATTGTACTGTTTTGTCTGAGGTGATAGCTGATGTTTCTTGCCTTCAAATATCGATCAAATGCAAGAGGGGCTCGGCAGCTAGCCATTCAGGGTGAAAGAGATCGATCAAAAAGTAAATAAGGGGGTGGAATCTCACCTTTTTATTATAAACTCCAGTCTCAGGTGTGCATAGTATCAAATTTTTTTACCTAAACATGATTTTTCACTTCAAACACATCAACCTCGTCAAAAATATTATTTTCAATATTGTTCTTCCTTTACACGACTGCATCACGCAGGCTACTGGAGTGGAGGCCAATTTCCCGAATCACCTGGCGCTGCACAAGCCTGCAGATCACGTTTATGAAATAGCGTAGTCTAGTGCTGTGAAATCTGCTAATGTAAGCATCATGCTCCTGCGAACATCCGACTGTATCAAATAAATACTCTCTTCCTCTTAAGAAAAGATACATTGTAAAAGTTGGCCTGCTTCCTTATCATTTCTCTTGGCAGTGAGAAAAGCCGGAAGAGTATTCCGCTGTTGAGCAGCAGCAGCAGCAGCAGCGGCAGCAGC